TTTTCTTGCTTTCTTTTGTGAACATTTAGAAGGGAGGAGGGAATAAACAGGAATCTACACACCAGTCAGCCTAATCTCGGTGGTAGGGAAATTTTTGGAAGTAACTCTGAGAGTCAGAATTATTCTGCATTTGGAGAGGCAGGGCTTAATTGAGAACAGTCAGTATAGTTTTGTTAACAGGAGGCCATGTCTGACTAACTTCATTGATTTTTCGGAAAGGTGACGAGGTGTGCAGATGAGGGCAATGCTTTTGATGTCATCCATTTGGACTTCAGATAGGCTTTTGATAAGGTCCCTCAAGGAAGACTGATAGAAAAGGTAAGAGCCCATGGGATCCAAGGAAATTTGGTAAATTGGATCCACAATTGGCTGAGTGGCAGGAAGCAGAGGGTAATGGTTGAGGGGTATTTTCCAATCAAAAGTCTGTATCCAGCGGGGTCTCACAGGGGTCAATGTTGAAGCCCTTGCTGTTTGCGGTTTCAACAAATGATTTAGACTTAAATATAGGTGGGTTGATCGGCTAGTTCGCAGATGATATAAAAATTGGCAGGGTGATCAACAGTGAGGATGATAGCCTTAGATTATAGAAGGATATAGATGGGCTGTCAGATGGGCCGATCAATGGCAATGGAATTCAATCTGGATAAATGTAACATTATGCACTTGGGCAGGACAAACAAGGCAAGGGAATACATGAAGAATGGTAGAAAACTGGGAAGCACCAAGGATCAGAGGGATCTTGGTGTGCTTGCAATCTGGGTCTCTTAAGGTATCAGGACAGGTGGAAAAGTCGTCAAGAAGGGACCGACTCCCATAGCTACTTAGACTAACACCTCCTCTCATCCACCTTCCTGCAAGAATGTGATCCCCTACTCCCAATTCCTCCGCCTCTGCCAAGTCTGCTTCCAAGATATGGTGTTCCACTCCTGCACATCCCAAATGTCCTCCTATTTCAAGGTCCACAACCTCCCCGCCACGTGCATCTCAACTGCATATTTTGCGTTCTCTGCACCTCTGCCCTTACATCCATTCCCCCCAACAAAAGTAAAAACAAAATCTCCCTTGTCCTCACATATCACCCCAACAACCTCCGCATCCAACGTATCATTCTCCACCACTTCTGCCACCTACAATCTGACCCCACAACCAAAGATATATTTCCCTCCCCACCCCCATCAGCCTTTTGTAGGGACCACTCTCTCCGCGACTCCCTTGTCCAGTCCACACTCCCTACTATCCCCATCACCCCTGGCACCTTTCCCTGCAACCGCAAGAAGTGCTACACCTGCCCCGACACCTCCTCCCTCACCTCCATTCAAGGCACAAAACAAACCTTCCGCATTAGACAGGGGTTCACCTGCACATCCGTCAACATGGTCCACTGTATCCGCTGCTCTCGATTTGGCCTCCTCTACATCAGTGAGACCAAGTGAAGGCTCGGAGACTGTTTTGTCAAGCACTGTTTGTGACAAACGACAACATCTTCTGGTCGCAAACCATTTTAACTCCCCCTCACAATCCCTGGGTGACATGCCCATCCTGAGCCTCCTCCAGTGTCACAATGATGCCACCCACAAACTGGAGGAGCAGCACTTCTTATTCTGCCTTGGGAGCCTACAGCCCAATGGCCTAATTGTGGATTTTACCAGTTTCAAAATCTCCCCACCCCCAGCCTCAACCCATGACCAACCCTCCCTCTCATCCTGCCTCCTTGACATGACACAACCTATCCATCTTCTCTCCCACCTATCTGTCCCTTTCACCTCACTGACCAATCCCTACCACTCCCTCCCCGCACTCACCTATCATTACCTCACTTCCCTTTGCCAGCCCCACCCCTCCCCTCTCTATTTATTTCTGAGCTCCCTACTCTGTCTCCACTTCTGAAGAAGGTTCCCGCCCCGAACGTCAACTTTCCTGCTTCTCTGATGCTGCCTGGCCTGCTGTGTTCCTCCACCTCCACACTATGTTATCTCTGACTCCAGCGTCTGTAGTTCTTACTATCTCTGATATGGTATACCTGCCTTTATTAGCCAAGGCAAAGAGTTTGAGGGGAGGGTTATTATGCTGGATCTATAAAATGCTAGTTAGACCACAGTTAGTATTGTGTGCAGTTCTGGAATTCATATTTGATGAATGTGTGTTGTGAAGTTGGGTAGAGTACTTGTAGATTGGGAGATAGGGAGTTAGAATTTGATACTTGCAAAATGTTAAGGGGGAAAACATTGCATAGTCCCTTTAAAAGACGATGTGCTTTTTCTGTGCTTAGAGATTTAAAATGGACATCTGTGAGCAGCACCGTGAAAGTTTGCAAGTACACAGAGATCACCGAAATTAGAACATTTGTATTAAAAGGCCGCACAGTTAGCAGGCCAAGCAGCAGTTTTTACCAAGACAACAAATTTTGAATTTAACCAAGCAATTTGAAAAAGGCACTTAGATATCAAAAACCAATTAATTTTTAATCTAATAGTTTTGACAACATGGGACCAATCCTATTGTAAGTAATATTGATATGTCATTAAGGATATGCAAGAACGGGGCACTTGGACAAAGCCCTAGAGCTGACTGCCATCCACCAGAGTTAACAGCCCTCAGGTCTCAAGCGATAATCGCTGGGTCTCACAGACTTCTCTATGTCTTAGTGAAAGGACCATCTAAATAACCACGGTACCCATGGCACAACTAGTTAACCTTCCTGATAGAAGAATCGACAGAGAAGGCATTCCTGACAGAAGAATCGACAGATAAGGTACAGAACATTCCGGAAGTCATGCACCCAGCTGTAATTTCGAGAGACTAAATTCTATTCTTTTTATAAGTGGGACCCATATTTATTGGAAAAGCATACTATTAGACTCTTGTTTTATTCGGGAATAGTTAGTAGTTCAATGGGATTTATTCGGTTAGGTAGTAGTTTAGTCAATTTGTTCACTGTTAGAGTTAGATAAATAAATTGATACCTGTTGATTGTAAAACGAGTATCAGGGATTTATTTTGTTTAACTACTAGAAGTTGCTGAAAGGCAGGTTACAGTATTTTTCACACTCCTTTTACAGATTATAGGGCAAAGTACTCTTCTTTGGGTGTTTCAGTGTTAGTTCTCAGGTCAACCTCTGCTTTATGACATGTAATTGCACTGGAGAGGGTGCAGAGGAGATTTACCAGCATGTTGCCTGGGCTGGAGAGTTCAGTTATAAGGAGATATTGAACAGATCGGAATTGCTTTCATTCAAGCAGAGGAAATTGAGAGGGGACATGACTGAGATGTATAAAATTATGAGAATCATAGATAGGATAGACAGAATGAAACATTTCCCCTTGATAGAAGGATCGATGGCCAGGATATAAGATAAGGGGTAGAAGGTTTAGAAGAGACATTTCAAACAGATGACCTTTCTAGAGTTACAAGGTCCAGTCTCCTCAATCTGTCCTGAAGGGACAATTCTGTCATCCCAGGAATCAGTCTGGTGATGTCTGCTGCACTCCCTCTATGGTAAGTATATCCTTCCTTAGGTAACTGTATCAAAACTGTACACAAGACTCTAGGTGAGCTATCGTCAAGGCTCTATACAAATGTGTCATCCTGACAACTCACATTCCAATCTAGTTTTGTGTTATCTGCAAACTTGGAAACTGCTGACAAAAGAGGGACCGCTTTGTAGAACACCTACGCTCGGTTCGCAATAAACAACTGCACCTCCCAGTCGCGAACCATTTCAACCCCCCCGCCCATTCCTCAGACAACATGTCCATCCTAGGCCTCCTGCAGTGCCACAACGATGCCACCCGAAGGTTGCAGGAATAGCAACTCATATTCTGCTTGGGAACCCTGAAGCCCAATGGTATCAATGTAGATTTTCACAAGCTTCAAAATCTCCCCTCCCCCTACCACATCCCAAAACCAGCCCAGCTCGTCCCCGCCTCCCTAACCTGTTCTTCCTCCCACCTATTCCCTCGTCCCACCTCAAGCCGCACTCCCATCTCCTACCTACTAACCTCATCCCGTCCCCTTGACCTGTCCATCCTCCCTGGATTGACCTATCTCCTCCCTACCTCCCCACCTACACTCACCTTTACTGGCTCCATCCCCGCATCTTTGACTGGTCTGTTTCCTCTCCACCTATCTTCTCCTCTTTCCATCTTCTATCCGCCTCCCCCTCTCTCCCTATCTATTTCAGAACCCCTTTCCCCTCCCCCTTTTCTGATGAAAGGTCTCGGCCCGAAACGTCAGCCTTCCTGCTCCTATGATGCTGCTTGGCCTGCTGTGTTCATCCAGCTTTACACCTTGTTATCTCACTCATTTAATTGAAGCTTTTTTGTCTTGAACTCATCAGGACAATTCACAAGAAAGACCAATGTAAAGAGAAACAACAACGTGTACTGTATGTGAAAGTAGTGCTGATGGGTTTGCAAATGGAAGCTGATTGTTAGAAGCAGCATCATGGAGAATACACCAGTTAGATGATAATTGACAGTTAATTACCAAACTCATCATAGACTTTCAAACTAAGAATGAGTCATTTATTCCTCTTCTGTGTGCCTGCTGTTAGAGCAATCTTAAATCCATACCCATATATTTCCTGCTTTCTCACATGTTTTAATTTTGTTTACTTATCTCCTTTGTGGCACCTTATTAAGTATTTTCTCCAAATAATCTCACCCAGTCCCTGATGTCTCTGAGTGCACTGGTTTTGGGAATATATTTTCACATGTTAAATTATTAATATCCCCACAACATTTATATTCCATTCACATTTTAACTTCCAAATGCTGGAACAGTCTCCAGTATAAACAATGCAGCACCCCTCCTTAATGATACATTGGATTGTCCACCAGATTTTGTTAACAAAACCATAAGCCACCTGATCAGTGGTGAGTACTTTCACCTGAACTAGACTGACACTGAGTTAGAAATGCACAATAGTCGTCCACATTTACTTTTTATTGCGATCTAGGACTAAATATGTAATGGTAAAAATTACTAAATGACAACATACCTGTGTTACACATAGAAGGCCACAGAAAAAAAATAACGAACAAACAAAAATTGTCAGAAAAAGGCGCCTTGATCGTAGAACCCTCGGGAACACATCCAGCATAGCCGTTATAACTGATTCTAATGAAAGCAATCATTAAATGAGATTAGTGATTATCAATAATTTACACAATCCCAGAGAAACCCAGCACTGCCAATGCTGACAAATTGGTGAGGATAAGAATTTTCTCACCTTAGTTCCTTACTATCTACTGATGCTGCGCCAGTATAGCTGTTATGTCTTTCAAAGAATCACCCAGCCTGGTTCTTCTGCAACTATACTGTTCCACATCCCAGCCAATTCTTAGTGCTTGTTCCAAGTAGTGCACAGTGTGAAAAAGGACTGATTTGTCAGTTAAGGAAAGAGGATAGGTCAATAACAAGTGGTTTCTCTCTCCATGTTTGACATGGAGCTCTGAGATTTGAGTCCAGAGTCAATATTGAGGATTTCCAGGCCTAATGGCATCTGTGAATGCACTACTGTGCCATCCTTTTAGAGTGGGAGATGGATGATTCTGTGACATTTGTTGTAAGCTATGAATCAGTGAATAGAATGATGTCAGACTATTACTCCACTGGAAAACCATAGCAGGTCAGACAGCATCCGAGGAGTAGGAAAGTCAACATTTCGGGCTGAAACCCTTCATCAGGACTGAGGACGGGGAGGGGAGTCCAGAAGAAAATAGAGGAAGGAAGGGTGAGTGGGATGGTGATAGGTGAATACAGGTGAGAGGTTGTTGTGATTGGTCAGTGGGAAGGGTGGAGCGAATAGGTGAGTAGGAAGGTGGACAGGTTAGGTCAGGGCAGGGAGGTGAGGAGGAAAGTGAGGGCTGGATATGGGATAAGACTGAGGGAGGAGGGATTTTGAACCTCGTGAAGTCAACACTGAGCAGATTGGGCTGTAAGCTCCCAAGGCAAAATATCAGGTGTTGTTCCTCCAGTTTATGTTTGGCCTCAGTCTGACAGCGTAGGAGTCCGAGGATGGACATACCACCAGAGGAGTGGGAGGGGGAATTAAAATGGATGGCAACCGGAAGATCGGGTTGGTTGATGCATACGTAGTGCAGATGCTCCGCAAATCAATGCCCGAGTCTGCATTTGGTCTCCCCAATATAGAGAAGGCCACTTTGGGAGTAATGGATACAGTAGATCAGGATGGATGAAGTGCAGGTGAATCTCTGCCAGATCTGGAAGGATGTTTGGGGCCTTAGACGCAGGTGAGAGGGGCAGGTGTTGTACCTCTTGTGGTTGCAGGGAAAAGTACTGGGTGCGGTGGAGAAGTTGGTGGGGACTGTAGAGCTGATGAGGGAGTCAGGGAATGAATGGTACCTGCAAAAAGCAGATGGGGTGGGGAAGGAAATATCTTTTTGGTGATGGGGTCTGATTTTAGGTGGCGGACATGTGGGAGGATGACGCATTGAATTCAGACGTTGGTGGGGTAGTACGTGAGGACTAAGAGGACTCTATCCTTGTTGTAGTTGGAGGGAGGGGGTTTGAGGGCAGATGTGCGGGAAATGGAGGAGATGTGGTTGAGGGCATCCCTTAGTAACAGAGGAGGGGAAACTATGGTCACTAAAGTAGGAGGATATCTAGGATGTCCTGCAGTAGAACGCCTCACCCTAGGAGCAGATGCAGCAGAGGCGGAGGAATTGAAAGTATGGGGTAACGTTTTTGCAGGAGGGTGGGTGACAGGACGTGTAGCCAAGGTAGTTATAGATAGTGGGTTTGAAATGGATGCCAGTGGTGAGATGGTTTCCGGAGATGGAGATGGAGAAGTCAATGAAGGGGAGGAGGTATCAGAAATGGTCCAGATGAATTTGAGGACGAGGTGGAAGGTGCTGGAAGTTGACAAGAGGTGCAACACCTGCCCCTACACCTCCCCTCTCACCTGTGTCTAAGGCCCCAAACAATCCTTCCAGATCCAGCAGAGATTCACCTGCACTTCATCCAACCTGATCCACTGTATCTGTTACTCCCGATGTGGTCTCCTCAATATGTGTGCGCCTTTGTCATTTCTGTTGCTTAGATGCTTGCCAGCTTTAAAATCCCCTCAGCTTTATACTTCTTAGCGCAATAATTAGTTACAGATAAGGGGCTGCTTAGACCATTTCAAAGGGGAGTTCCATGTATGCCTCATCCACATGATGACAGGGTTCTCTAGGGTTTCTGGATTAATCTAGTCACGTAACTAAAATGTCACCATTCCTTAACACTTCTTTAAAATGTAATCCTGTCCCTTTCACTCTGGTGTGAGAGAAACTGCTCAGGATGGACCTTAAATTGCACAGTGATTATCCTCTGATACCTGCAGCACCTAGGTACAAACTGAGCATTTTCTGAAACTTCAGTTGGGCATGTGGGTATCACTGATTGGGCCGTCATTTATTGTCCAACCCTAATTGTCCTTGGAGACGTGGCGGTGAGTTACCATTTTGAACTACTGCTGTCCTTGCAATGTATGGACACCAAAATGCTATTACAAAGAGAGTTCCAGGATTTTGAACCAACGACAGGGAAGAAACAACGATATATTTTCAAGTCAGGATGGCGAGTAGTTTACACAAGAACATAAGGACTAAGAAGTAGGAGCAGGAGTAGGCCATCTGGCCCTTCGAGCCTGTCAGCCACTCAACAAGATCATGGCTGATTTTTTTCCTGGACTCAATTCCACTTACCCACCCGTTCACCATAGCCCTTAATTCCTTTACTGTTCAAAAATCTATCGTTGCCTTAAAAACATTCAATGAGGCTGCCTCAAATATTTCACTGAGCAGGGAATTCCACAGATTCACAATCCTTTGGGTCAAGAAGTTCCTCCTCAACTCATTCCTAAAACTGCTCACCCTTATTTTGAGGCTATGCCCCCTAGTTCTAGTTTCACCCGCCAGTGGAAACAACCTTCCTGCTTCTACCTTATCTGTACCCTTCATAATTTTATATGTTTATATAAGATTACCCCTCTCATTCTTCTAAATTCCGATGAATATAGCCCCAGTCTACCTCATCTTTCCTCTTAAGCCAACCCTCTCAACTCTGCAATCAACCTGGTGAACCTTCTCTGTGCCCCCTCCAGTGCCAGTATATCCTTTCTGAAGTAAGGAGACCAAAACTGTTCACAGTACTCCAGGTGTGGCCTCACCAGCACCCTGTACAGCTGCAGCATAACCTCCCTGTTTTTAAACAGTTTGGGGTGGAACTTGCAGGGGTGCTGTTCTGAAGTATCTGCTGCCCTTGTCCTTCTAGATGGCAATAGCTGTGGGTTTGGAAGGTGCTGCTGAAGAATCCTTGGTGAATTTCTGCAGAGTATCTCATCGATCGTCCACACAGCTACTTGTCAGTGGTAGAGGGAGTGAATGTTGAAAGTGGTGGATGGGATGCCAGTTAAGCACTTTGCTTTGTTCTGAATGGAGGTCAAGCTTCTTAAGTATCACTGGAGCTGCACCCATTCAGGCAATTTTTCCGTCACACTCCTGCCTTGTGCCTTGTAAATGGTGGTCAGGCTTTGGGGTGATAGAATGTGAATTACTCACCTCAGGATTCCTAGTCTCTGACCTGGGATTGTAATCATATATGTATTTATATGGATAGCCCAGTTCAGTTTGTGGTCAGTGGTAACCCCCAGGTTGTTAACAGTAGGGGATTCAGTGATGGAAACACTATTCACATTGCTTGGCCTGCTGTGTTCATCCAGCCCCGTTTTGTTGGGGGTAGTTATTACATTGTTTGTGTATCATGTATGTTACTTGTCATTTGTCAGCCTATTTCTAAATGTTGTCCAGGTCTTTCTGCCTATGATCATGGAGTTCTATGAGTATGGGGCAAAGAACAGGTCAAGGAAATACAATCTGAAATGAGACTGAAAACCACTGTAATACAAACCAAACAGAAATCCTGTTTTGAGAACTTCCAGATGTTGAAATGACATTTTCCTGCAGATTCTGTTAATGGAGTTGTGAACCTATTTTACTGAAACAGGTTGAGTTAAAAGCCCCATTGAGACAGTCAGCAGAGAATTGTAACAATGGAACATGATTCACTAACATCACCAGCAGTGATTGTTAACCCTACATTCTGTACACAGTAATGAAAATAGGCTTCCTTTACAAAAGGAGTGAGTTTGGTTAATTAAAGTAATATCATTCTTACCTGTACTTGCAAACAGACTGCTGAGTCCCACAGTGACCAACATGAAGAAAAACAAAATGGACCAGAAAGGTGCCCATGGCAATTGAGCAAGAGCCTCTGGGTAGGCAATAAAAGCTAAACCAAAACCTAAAGAGTGAAAAGAATTGATATGGTAATGTTAACAGTGGTTAATACAGATATTGATTGAAAACTTTGGCTCAGCAATGTAGTGTAAAAGATTAATTTGATGTGTATATAAGATAGATAACATCTTCATTAGGAAGTGATGTAAGATCACATGACTAATGAATGATGGTTCTTTATTTTTAGTTCTAATGACCCAGATCTTCTGGTGGGTAAATAGTCATTGCTGGAGTGAAGGCATGAATTGTGTGTCAGGACCAAGCAAGAATCCTGACACAGTTGAGTCTGTGCGCATTGTTTACGAAGGTGAAACTTCTGATGGACAATTTCCCAGCATCTGGAACACTCCAAAACATCCACAACTCTGAGTTAGAGTCAGAGACTTTGGCAGGTTCCAACTTGCTCAATTGTTACCCAGGAAAAGTGAGAGGGTAAAGGCTGCTCGAGCTCCTGGCTAACTATAAAATTGATCCTCCAACTCACTTCTGAACCCATCCCTGCTGCTAAAACCCAAATCACTTCCAGCACTGGAGCTGACTCCCAACCAACCTCTCTGTACACCCAGAGACACCCAATCTCCTCAAGTCTACTGGGTTGCTCCCTGCATTAGAGGGTATGAACTGAAAAGAGAGGCTGCAGAAACTAGGATTGTTTCCTCTGGAGTGGCGGAGGCTGACAGATGTTTATAAAATTATGACAGGTTTGAAATGGTTAACAGTCCGAATCTTTTTCCCAGAGTTGAAATGTCTATTACTAGGGGGCATGCATTTAAGGTAAGGGGGGAAGTTCAATGAGATGTGAGGGGCAAGTTCTTTTACCCAGAGAGTGGTAGGTATCTGGAATGTGCTACTAGGGATAGTGGTGCAGGCAGATTTGTTAAGGGTGCTTAAGGGGTTTTTAGAAAAGCATAGGAATAAGCAAGGAATTGAGAGATACAAACCATGGGTAGGCAGAAGGGAATAGAGTCATAGAGTCATACAACACAGAAACAGACCCTTCGGTCCCACCAGTCCATGCCAAATATAATCCCAAATTAAACTAGTCCCACCTTTCTGCTCCTAGCTAATATCATAAGAACATAAGGACTAGGAGCAGGAGTAGGCCATCTGGCCCCTCGAGCCTGCCCTGCCATTCAATAAGATCATGGCTGATCTTTGAGACACAGCTCCACTTACCCGCCTGCACACCATAACCCTCAATTCCTTTATTGTTCAAAAATTTATTTCTCTAAACCTTTCCTATTCAAATGTTTGTTAAACATTGTAATTGTACCTAAGTTCACCACTTCCTCAGGAAGTTCATTCTACACACAAACCACCCTCTGTGTAAAACGTTTGCTCCTCATGTTCTTTTTAAATCTGTCTCCTCTCACTTTAAAAACGTGCCCTCTAGTCTTTAAATTCCCCAGTTTGGGGAAAGACAACTACCATTAACTCTATCTGTATCCCTGATTATTTTTATAAAGTTTTAAAAGGTCACCTCTCAACGTCCTACACTCCAATGAAAAAAGTCCCAGCCTATCCAGTCTTTCTTTGTAACTCAAAACTTTAATTTGGTGTCATGTTCAGCACAACATTGTGGGCCGAAGGGCCTGTTCCTGTACTGTTCTATCTCCTTGTATACTATGACCCTTGTATACTCACTTTTCTTTACTATCATCCCTGGTTCTTTCTCAAATTCTAAATCCCATTGACAACATTCACTAGTTGTTCTACCATTCACTAAGATTCCAGACGCCCTGTTACTCTTATCAGTTCAAAATTCCATTGAATTTTGCAACAAACATTTACAAACTGAGGGCTATGTGAAGACTTCTAATTAGCATGATAAATGATGAAAAACAGGGCTTCAGCATCATTCAGATCAGTAAACCTCTGCAGTTACCTGACTGCGCAACCTCTGAGACAGGCTTATCTTGGATATGAGCCATGTGTCCAAGGATTGAAAAAATGACAAATCCAGCAAATACACTTGTAAGAGAATTAACAACACAGACAACAATGGCATCTCTGTAGCAGTTGTTGTGGAATTTGTTGTAGGATGACAGGGTTATTAAACTGCCCCATCCTACAGTAAGAGAAAAGAAAATCTGTGTTGCAGCATCTTTCCAGACCTGGAATAGGACAGAGAATTAGTCACCATTGAGAAATTTCATTTCAGTCAATCCAACAGATAAAATTACACTGACCATGAGTCATGTGGGGCTATAGCTAACTTAGGGAGTACTGCTCCCCACCACCTTACCCCACCATCCACCTTGTCTATATAGAATATCTTCTGCAGTTTGAATGAGGTGATGGTGGGACTTCTGCCCTCAATGGAAGCTGCTTCAGAGCTGCCTGCCCATTTGCTAGCACTATGGGCAGGCCTACATTGGAGATGCTGTTGATCAGAGGGACTCTATCCATCATTGAGCTGTGGGATTAACCCACTCCATGGGCTGGATAGTACTTACCCACACTGGTGGGCATGCTAGGTCAAAGGGCATGTAAAAAAGGACCATAGGCAAGGAGGGATTGAGAAAATTTTGGTTTTTGCATTTGAGGCAGGAGAAAGGAAGGGGGAGTGAGTGTCAACTTCTTGGGACGGTTCGTTTGATGGGTGAAAGAAACCTGTTGAAGATAGCACACTCCTTTCCTCTCACAGTTCCGACTGGAACATGGTGTGGGTAGGATAATACTTGGGACAATAATTTAATAAGGTCGATTGACTTTTCAGTATTTATTTGCATGTTGCCAATTTTGGTGCCCGTCTACCTCCTATATTATTTGGAGTGAGCTGAGGGATGGACCGGAAAGTGAAGAGCTGAGTACCTGCCCTTTTTCACTCAGTCTAACTTATACTTCCTCCTCTGCTTAAGACCTCATGCTGTGACTTTCAGCATCTGATTGGTAAAAGATGAACTTAGTTGCTTTCTAATGTTCTTCTCGGTGCAGATGATCTTGTTCCATTTCCATCTCTGATTTTCAGATAGTTGCAGCTCTAAATTTCATTAAAATTAAACAGGTCAGGGCATGTCTGAAAGGAGGCACAGTTCACAGCCAATCTCACTCAAGATGATGTCGAAGCTCTGCATGTGGGCTCCTGACCGGAGCTCATCTACTCAGTCCATTTTTACGTTTTTTTTCTGTCTACACAGCTCTTCTATTCTCTCTTTAATCCACTTACCTTCCGCGGAGAAATCAAGCCAGCGCTGAGGATAGTGCTAGAGCGCGGGAGAGTGCTAGACAGTGAGCCTAACATGGAGGAGAGTGAGCCCAAAATGGAGGAGAGTGAGCCAGCCTGGGGAGATTGAGAGAGCCAGCCCAAAGCAGAGGACAGATAGCCAGCATGGGGGGCAGTGAAAGCGAGAGCCCAGTGCAGGGGAGATCAAGCCCAGTGCGCTGGTAAGAGAGGTTTCCCAGCATCTGTGGTGGTGGCGAGAGCAGGCAGCCCAGGATCTTCCGGCATCTGCACTAGCATCGAGCATGGGGAGATCGAATCCAGCATGGAGATGATCGAACCTTCAGGGGAGTGTGAGCCCAGCATGGCTAAGCACTTAAGAAGGAGTGCAATGTTGACCTCTTAACTGTATTTCTTTATTTCCCACTTTATATTAAGAAGGACTTTAATGTTGAACTTATAACTGTATTTCCTTATTTTTCTACTTTGTACCGAGGTACCTTTTTACCTAATATGGTGCTGGGAATGGCAACATTGTTATACTTTTCAAGGTACTCCTGTATCCCTGTACTTGAGAACACGTGATAATAAAATCTAAATCTAAATCTCAAATGTCTCATTGCTGAATCTGTTCCAAGGTTTCAGGAAGAGGGAGACATCAGGATGAAATTCTAATGCATCCCATTCCTTGTCACTCTTCCTCATTTGGTTCTATCCAAATTCTTCCCTCCCCATCATAACCCTTACTGCCCCATACCCTTCTGTTAGCAGCAGGATGATAGAAACTGCAAGATAACTCATTACAACTGATCGCAAGTTCTCAGTTAAAATTGTCACCATCCGAACTGAGTGTTCCCATATTTAACCAGGAACACCAAAAGCAATAATCAGATTAAATTCACTATCTGAGATAACCAAAAACAAAGTCCAACATTTAAAAATAAAAGTACCTGAAATTCAGTCAATTATATTGTTGCATTTACCTCAGCATCAGCCAGTTTGGAGAAGTCTGACTGACTTCCAATGTAGAATTCAATCCCTTTACCGGCTCCCTCTAGGGTAACGCCTCGGATCAGGAGTATGGTCAGAACCACATAAGGGAATGTCGCAGTGAAATACACAGCCTAAGGATAGAGAACACTTTGTTAAATTTTCCTGTATGGCTAGTACAGGATATAATGAATGGAAAACCAACAAAACTGCAATGAATGCAGCAAAATAATTCTATGATTATTGGAATCGCAATAGTGACATGAAAGATGTGCTTAACACTGAGCAGCAAATTGGAGTATTGTCTTAAATTTTATATAATTCATGCACAGGAAAAATAACACATTTAACTGGAGAATAGAACATACAGATGTTGGAGATCTGAAACAAAAACAGAAATTGCTGGTGAAACTCAGCAGGTCTGGCAGCATTTTTTTTCAGACTAAAGGCCTGTGACCAGCGGTGTGCCGTAAGAATCGGTGCTGAATCCACTGCTTTTTGTCATCTATATAAATGATTTGGACATGAACATAGGAGTTATGGTTAGTAAATTTGCAGATGACACCAAAATTGGTGGTGTAGGAGACAGTGAAGAAGGTTACCTGAGATTACAACAGGACCTTAACCAGATAGGCTAATGGACTGAGGAATGACAGTTGGAGTTTAATTTAGATAAATATGAGGTGCTGCATTTTGGAAAGGCAAATCAGGTCTGGCCTTATACACTTAGAGGTAGGGTCCTGGGGAGTGTTGCAAAAAAAGGGATCTTGGAGTGCATGTTCATAGTTTCTTGAAAGTGGAGTCACAAGTAGACAGTATAGTGAAGAAAGCGTTTGGTACGCTTGCCTTTATTGGTCAGTGTGTTGAGTATAGAAGTTGGGAGTTCATGTTGCGGCTCAACCGGACATTGGTTAGGCCACTTTTGGAATTCTGTGTTCAATTCTCCTTACTATAGGAAGGATGTTGTTAAACTTGTAAGGGTTCAAAAAATATTTGTAAGGATGTTGCCAAGGTTGGAGGATTTGAGCTAGAGGGAGAGGCTGGAGCATTGGAGGATGAAGGGTGACCTTATAGAGGTTTATAAAATCATGAGGGGCATAGGTAAGATGAATAGTCAAGGTCTTTTCCCCAGAGTAGGGGAGCCCCAAAGTAGTGGGCATAGGTTTAAGGTGAGAGCGGAAAAATTTAAAAGGGACCTAAGGGGCAACTTTTTCATGCCGAGGGTGGTGTGTGTATGCAATAAGCTGCCAGAGGAAATGGTGGAGGTTGGTACAATAACAACATCTGGATGGGTATATGAATAGGAAGGGTTTAGAGGGATGTAGGCCAAATGCTGGCAAATGGGACTAGATTAATTTATGATATCTCTTGTCAGCATGGATGAGTTGAACCAAATGATCTGTTTCCATGCTGAACATCTCTACGATTATGATATCCATTTATGTTGACTCATGGGTCTCCTCCCGCCTTAGTTCAGGATGGCTGAAACTCAGAGTAATTAGGGGTCCTAAGAGGGAACAGAGCCTGGGGTTTTTAGGGCACATTTGGAGATCCTGTTGCAGCAAGTGGGAGGACCACAGAGCTTTCATGATTCCTCTGAGGTCAGTCAGGTGCTCAGTGCTACCAAAGCAGTTTGGCTGAAGACAGTGGAGGTGGCTAGTGCTGTGGGACAACACCAGTGGAGCTGGATCCTGTGCCATCAGTGACCTTCTATGCTACAGCAAGATGACAGTAATGTCCAAATTAGGAGTCGTGCCTGGTCTAGATCCATGCGGTATGCTCAGCCTTGAGTAGACCAAGGTGACATGATGCTCAGACACAGTACCACAGCATGGATGTATGCTAACGTGCAACAAATAAAGTACTAGTTAATGGAGGAGACTGAGGAAGATAATATGGAGATACTTTGGGAATATCCAAGCGCAATACTTTGGAAAAAAACATGCCACAATGTCGGAGAACCGATCAAGAAGAAGACCAAAATTCTGAATGATTCCAGACCTGTGGAGGAGAGGGCAATGGATGATGCCAAAGCAATGAAACTCTCCTTCCAGCTGTACCTGGTTATGGTGTTCATGATGGCAAGGGTTGATGGAGAATAGGTTGTTAGGACTAGATCCCATGCAAAATCCCCAGCTGATTGCAGCTCCAGGCGGGATGTTCCAAATTGTTAAGCTTGTGAGTGAGGAAAGATGAACCGGTTTGCCTTGTTTATTCACCCACCCTGCTTAGTTGGACAAAACATGTTTAATTTAAAGAGAATCCTTTCCCATTGAGGATCTCTTTCTCCCAGACCACATGAAAACCCTAGCCAGGTTTTCTTGAATTAACAAAAAGATTGAGTCTATTAATTACTAGATGTAAGAAGAAATACAAAAACAACACACAATCATACAGATTAGAAGTAAGAAGTGAATCTAAATATTAAAAAAAATTGATGGATCCATCTCTCAATTGTTTGTGATAGTTGGATGTTGTAATCATTGCAGTGGAGGTTACCGGTAGTATTGAAATGATCAGTTTCACGACCCTTAGTTTTGCAGATCGGTTGAGATTCTGTAGCTCTGATTCTTTAAAACTATGATTGAAGTTCAGAATTTGAAGTGAGAGATAGTCTTTACCTGCCATGCAGGGGCTACTCAGAGATTGTTCTTCCACTGTGACCTTCACAGGATTATAGCTCTTGAACCCAGAGTGGTACACCCAAGAATATTCAGTCCCATAAGTATACTCGAGTAGAGTCGAAGTAGGCTTTTTAACCCCTGTCCTTGTGTATTTTTCAAAGGGAGAAACATAAAATGTGTCTGCAGTTTAGGATATAATCCACAATATGTCAGCCTCAGTTTATGTTTGTAGTCACAAGCAATCACAGGCCAATCTGTTTGACTTCCCTCCTCATCACCACCTTTGAAGGGCTATTGTTTGAAGTCTTCTTCAAATCCAAGGTGTGACATTCTGCCGGTCTTTCTCTCTAGACAGCCAATTAATTTACATCCACCCCTATTTTTGGACGCACCAGTCGTCTTTTAAAACACACACCTGGAATTACAGGTTAAAAGTGTTCACAGCTCCTTGTGGTTCTGATCCGTGGTTTTGATAGGAGTTTGGTAAGAACATCCTGTTCATTAATGGTGCAGGGAGTCTCCAGCCACTGACTGTCTGTCAGACTCTCAACACAGGGACTGCCATAGGGTCATAGAGATATACATCATGGAAAGAGACCATGTGGCTCATAACATCCATGCCGACCAGATATCCTAAATTAATCTCGTCCCGTTTCCCAACATTTGGCCAATACCCCTATAAACTCTTCCTATTCATGTAGCCA